GTAATACGAAACAGCGCTAAACGAGGCTATCTTAAAATGTAAATAATGGGGTTAGGGGAAGATGGATAGAAAATTGGTTAGGTATTATATTTAATAATGTTTTTTTAATAAAAATAAAACCAAACATTTATTTCTTGCAAATATAAAAAAATATAAACGAATATACTAATAAAAACAAATAAAATTCTCAGTCAGATCATTCAGTCTATTCTGTGTTTCTAATTTTCTGCCTTTTTGTCAAGAAGGCATTATGATAGATTGGCTTAATGGCATATTGCGTTCAATTTCGTCGTCAATCTGTATAGACAGTCGCTTTTCCATTTCCTCTATAATGTTATTTCTAGAACGGGTAATTCTAGTTGCAGAGCTTGACGTAGTTGAAATTGCCAATGACAGTATTTTTTCTTTATTCTTAAGAATTGTCCTTATTGTTGAAGTTGCCAAATTCAATGCTGCACCAATTTGAGATTGACGTTCACCAGAATGTAATCTTCTAATTACTTGCATTTTAGTTTCCAGTGAAATGCTTTTTCTGGTTGCTTTCTGTTCTTGGTTTTTATTATCACCCATGATAAAAATTAAAGATTATTATAATATTTGTCACTGTATTAATAATTATAGTACTATATAAATTTATACTTACAATAATGTCAACAACTGTTTCAAATGATAAAAATGCGTCTGTACAGCACCGCACAAAACAAGAAACACAACTACACTGTTTCGGATATGTTATTTGGAAACCTAGCGCTGTGCACAATTTTGGGGAATCCCCGTAGTGCTGCGAGCAATTTTGGGGAATCCCCGGGTTGAAATAAAAGAGCGCTAAATACGAAACAGCGTTAAGCGGGGTCTTACTGTACTTATAAAATGTGCATTATTGTTAATTTTAATGTATTGCTTCTTGATATTACATATATCTAATTCATCTTCAGCAGTCATATTAATTACTGGTACCAGTCCAATAATTTTTTTGTATTTTGAAAATAACCACAGAGACACTATTCACGAACACTAGATTCAAGATTAGAACTGTAGCATTTCTTGTAGAGCAGATACTCGCAAACAAAACAAACACAAATTCAGCATTCTCACAATGATTTCTCCTCAATTCAGAGATTTCCAAACAGGAGCTCACAGCAATGGAATTTCACTCGCTGAAGTAAGTAGATACAGAACAATGAGAAGATTCGCAATGCGTTCTTTGATTGACAGTGTATTACATTTACTTTTAATATAAGCAATATTATTTATATCAGTCGTTGCTTGATTCAATTTCAAACATGAAGTCAGTCAGTCTTTTCAAACGCCTAACAAATGGCATCTTTACTAAATTACTTGAAAAAACCGCTAGAATCTTGATTAATTGCGCAGTTGCTTGTTCGAATTTGGTAGCTAGCCAAAGCGCGCAAATCTTGAGATGTTCGTTAATTATTAGCATCCATTTTAACAAAATTTTATACAATTATTTAGCACACATTTTTAATACTAATTAAATTTAATAAATCAAAAGTATTTATATTAAATTTGCATTTCATTAGATGAATATACCTTAGATTAATATATTTAGATGAAATAAAGTAATGAAACATTGCAAAGTAAATCTTATGCGGCCTTCGGATTCTTGAAAGGGCAGATTTAGACTCTTTTCATTCTGAAAGTAATGCTGATGAACTAAAAAAAAAAAAAAAAATGCTAAAACGACTACGTCTAAAAGCGGTCATATCATGACATTTCAGCAATGTCGACAAATTGCCAAGATGCTACAGCAAATATTTTGCATCTTCGCAACGTTGTAAAGATGTCGTAAAAGTTACCATGACCGCTTTGCAACCTCTCGGACCAGTTGTCAACATCTTTGCAATGTCGTGGGCTTTTTGGGATGTTAAGAAGTTTTTTTTTAACAAAGGTTAATGTCGCTGTATTATTTCTGAATTCCTAAGTACTGCTGAGAAAAACCTCTCTCATATTTAAAACTGTTGTTTTGAAATAGCAAATATCAATATCAAAATTATTTTCTTGGTGATGTTTCAACAGGCTTGGAAAGAGAATCAAAGTTTCTCTTTCAAAATTTTGAGCAAAAAGATATAATTTGTTTTCAAATGAAATAACTTCTTCTAACATCCAAAAACATGTCTTTCCTTTTCCCTGTAGTATTTGATTAAGTTGATTTAGATAAGATGTCACATCTACCATGAAATAAAAATTTTTCTAGCCACTCATCATTCGTTAGTTCTGTATAATAAATGCCCTTTTCAAGGAGAAATGCTTTAACCTCTGTTAATAAAAATGTGAAACGTTTCAAAACATTTCCTTTTGATAACCAACATACTTTGTTATGCATCAGAAGATCTGTGTATTCAGTCTCCATTTCAACTAAAAATTCCTTAAACTGGCAATAATTAAGAACTTTAGCTGTAATCAAGTTGATCACCTTAATCGCCAAATCCATAACTTTGCAAATTTCTTCTGGAAATAACTGCAGAGCACTTCTTGATGAATGATACAATGGTAAGTAAATATCTCATGACTGCCTTTTTCTTTTAAAATAGCAACAAACCTGTTTTTTTCTCTAGTCATACTTTTTGCTCCATCTGTTGCAACTGAGACAATGATATTGAGTGAAATATGATGTTTTTCACAGCATTTGCTATATCCTCTTCACGTGTTTGACCTTTGAGTTCTTCTTTGGGACCTAAAAGTATTGGAGTATAGCCTAAAAGTTCTTCTTTGGGACCTCTAGATGAAATAAATCTTATGAAAAGTGAATCTTGCACTATATCATTTATGTCACAAGACTTGTCAACTGCTACTGATAAAGCTGAAACTAATTTAAGATCTTCAACCTGCTGATGAGTTATAGTTGAGGACTTTTTGACTGCTCTATCTTTCACTGTTTTAGCAGACAATGTTACTCTTTAATTTTTTTTTAGAATATCCACTTTGTTCTTAAAATCTCGAAATAGTTCTCTGGATGCATTTATAAAGCAACTTCGTTGTCTGACTTCCCTCTTCTAGGAATTCCTTAACTAACCACAAAACTTGCAAAATTAACATTATTGGAAGATTGCATCCAATAATTGATATAGAATTTAATTTTTCTTGACTTCTGAAGTTCATCAACTGCTTTCTGCCTTACATCACCGGCAGTATATATAGTACTAAAAGATATGTTTTTAGTTATATATGACAATTACTATGACAGCACAATTTGATGTATAATCAGTACAATCAAACCGGTGAAATCGGTACAAAGAAAATTTTCTAGGGATAACATTGGCTCGTTTCAGTTGTTTTCATGCTTGTGTAAAATTTGTGCCCTTTGTGTTGTATTTTAAAGATTTTCTTGCTCTTTCGTGCACATGGCTGCATGTGCTATTTTATGGAAGAGCCACACTAAAGGAGGCAAAAAGCCAAGGTTTGCTGATCACTGCTTTGGCCTATAAATGTCATTTTCAGTTTATTATTATTATTATTATTATTATTATGGATAGAAATTTCTGTTATATATCTCCTCATGAACAGTCTTAGCACTGTAGAGTGCAATAAGCTGCAGTCTGTAATCGTTGCCCAGTGTAATATGAGCATAAAAGTTACCATCCTCTTTGATATTCAATTACTATACAGTACAATCCGTAATCCGGACTCATCGGGACTTCGATTCCGGATAGGGGTTTTTTCCGGTTATAGATCTCAATTTAAATCTGGTAAGATGGCATGCAGAAATTATACAGTAAAAATATGAAACCGTAATTTATATGAATAAAAAAAAGCAATTATATCTAAAGGTATCAAATTTACAAAAAAAAGCTTAATATTATTTGTACTATTGAACATTCTTTTAATGTAAGTTGTTTACGATGCTTCCCAAAAAATTCAAAAGTTCTTTTTCTTGTGTCATCCCCCACACTCTTCGCATATTTTGAGATGGATATGCCTTTATCCATTTTTTGCAGCAATTATTCCAACTTTTTTGTGTGATGGACATTGAACATCTTTCGCTTTGTAGATCCTTGGGCACTCCAGAAGGAAACGCTTTTTGACATAATAAAAGTCCAGCTTGATTTTATGAAATTGCTCTAACAGTCTGCAAAAAATAATAAGCCGTTCCATTAGAAGATTAGGAACATGCAATCTCAAACATTAACTGAAATGCCTTAGAATCAGTAAAGATAATTTTACTCTAACTTATACCGTCCGTTATACATTAAACACGCATGCGTAAAGCATACCAAAAAAAAAAGGTTTGTGGCTTTGAGGTCCGAATTATAGATCATTCCGGATAATGGACGTCCAGATTACGGACTTTGTACTGTATTAAAAAAAAAATGGTTAGACATTGCTGCAAGAAACATTTTTTGAGTTGCAACGTGTTGATAGTCATGCAGTGATAAAAGCAAAAAATAATAAATATTGGTATCAGTTCTGAAGTGAAAATAAGAAACGAGACTCTGCACATGTTTATTTATGAAAAAAATATCAGGTTGGTAAGCATAAAGCCTGAAAAGAATTTCAAGGAAAGGGGGAGAAAAGTTTGCTGATGATTCAGAAGTCCGGATGTGGATGTCTGGTTTTCATACTTTGTGCTGTATACATGTATAAAAATGTATTAGTATTTATTAATAACATCTTTTGAAATATTCTTTTAAAATATCTGTATACATATGAATTTTAAATATATAAGTTCTTGTGTGATATACAATAAATAAGGATGCCTAAATATCTTTGCTGAGGGACATCAGATACTCTTGCTTTGGATGTGTAATCAGTGTAAAATATGTATTCATTATTTATTCCAATTTTGTAATTTCCTTTTTTATTTTTAATGTTATTTATTAGTATTCATTATTTTAGTAACTAGATCATTGAATTTCAAGTAATTATGTGCAAATTACTTGAATTTCTTTAATAACAAAAAAAAATTTTTTTTTAAATCAAGAACTTATTTAGTGATTTACATTCAATATATTTTTTATGAAATATATTTATTTTCTTTTAAGACTACTTGTTTATTTGAATATTATCATCCAATTGAAATTGATCCTAATCTCACTAAAGTGCAGAAAATACCTTACATGGTTGAATGGTAAGTTTATTTACTTATGCAACAGTTCCATTAGAATATATTTTTAAACTGTATTTCATTTCTGTAAATAGCTAATTCAATATTACAGTTAACTGGTACATTTGGCTATTGTTCTGAATTTAAAAAAATTAGTATGTAAAGTTATATTCAGAGTGATGGAAGCTAAGTACAAAAGTGACCTTTAATTTCAGATTAAGTAGAGTAAATAGATTATCTGTATCTACAGAGTACGTAAATTTTGTCTAGTATAAAAATGACAAATTTGTATAGCTGTATCTAAAGTGATAAATCTCCTAAATGCTCATAGTTTTTCTTGGATTTACTTTTCGTAGCCAATTGCATTGGCTTCATGGCATTTCTGTGGTCCAGCTATATCCATGAGCTAGTTTCTCACTAAGTGCTTTTCATGAAAGCATATCTTAAGCAAAGCAAATGTTCCTTAAGTACTTTGCCATAATAAGCAATTTAACCTATCTTATAGCTGTCAGTTCTACCACTTTTTAATTTTTAACATTAAGGAAAATGTTTTTCTGCAATAAATGAAATTTAGTAAATTAATTAAACTTCAATTAAGAAAATTCCATTTCCTCACCCCTAGTAATTTGCAGCTTAATTTTTCCTATTAAATTGGATTTCATCTGATTTTAATCTACTGCAGGTATTTGTAGGATTTTTTATGAAGATACAATTAATATTTATTTAATCAGTTAATGTTTGTAATATACGTCAATAAATGGTGCATTGCTAAACTTCTCTACTCGGGACTTTTTCCGTATAAAGGTATAAGAATTTACCAAAGGAAATTAGCTAAATAAAATAAGGATTTTGATATCAAATTAAATTTTAATGTATTTTACATTATAAATAGTTCAGAAACTTGAATCTACATCATAAGTAAATTTTAGAGTATATTTTCGTATCTAGTATTATTTCACTTTCTTACTGTCTTAACCTGTCTGCGCAAACTTGAGTTAGAATCAATCATTTACGATGTCAGCCATATTTTTTTCACCACTGTTAATGCTCTTGATGCATTAAAGCATAACCAATAACAGCCAAATAATATTAGTTGACATAATATACAAACACAAAGTTAACAGAGTGCATATAACATATTATTAGCTGCTAGCATGCACCCTCTTCCAAAGGTAGAAAGGAACCTATATCTGCAAGTCAGAAGCTTTCCTTGTAGATGTTGTTCATATGCAAGTGCAAACAGTAAATACCCCAGTGTGAACAATCTGTGCTATAGTCATATGGCTCCTCCTGTCTGTAAGACATCATAGTTTCCTTTTAAGAAATTGGCGAGACTCACCACAAAATTTTTATCTAGTGGCTTGATACTTGCTTGTTAACCAATCACTGAGGATGGCCAAGCGCATTGATTATTAAGCCAGCTCTTCACTGAGGAGGCTGCCTTTTCAATATAAAATACATGATACATATATTAGTAAATGTATGCCTAATGCTCACAAACATTGTGCATCTTCTGTATCTACTTAGTATTCATAATTATCCTTGTTTAAAAATCAATATTGTTTATTCTAATTTTGTTTAGCTATCTAAATTTTGTTGTGCTCATTTACAACCATTGGTAGTCAGTTTTCTGCTGAAGTATTCAGAACAAAAATACAGATTATCATTACAACAGTACAGCTAAAAAATTTTAAAGCTCCTTAGAAAGTTCTCCCAACCATGAACTCTCATTTTTTTCACAAAAGATACATATATGAATCTTCTCATATGGAATATATAATCACAAAAAATGGTAATATTCTCTATGCAGTCTAGAAACAAATATTAAATATAAGCTTTTTGATCACCAGTGGCAAACTTTCTGACAGAATTTATAAAATCTCCAAAACATCTCACTAGATATAGTTAGTTGTATATTCCCAGTTTCTTGTTTGTATTGCTTTCAAAGTTAATTTTTTTAAAACATAATTATACTTCTAAATGGGCAAAAGTATTTGCAAATTTCTGTTTCCAATAATTTCAATGTTTTATTGAAAACACTCTCTCAGTCAATTTTTCAACTAACCTTCAACTACACATTACTGAACTTTGATTCTGAGGGGGGTAATACAGTTGATTTTATAACCTCAGGGGGGAAAAAACTATTAATTTAAAATTAGCTGTAGTTAAAAATTTTTGTAGTTGAGTTCTTGTAGATTAGATCCCATAGATGAAAATAAAATACATGAAGTTTTTGATCACCAAATTTTTGTAAATCAAATTCTTTACAAAAGTCGAATTTCTTCAAAGAATTCAATTTAATTACTTAATTGGCAAAATGTACTATTGCCGACCTCAAAATTAATATTCTACATTTGGTGCCATCCCCCTAAATTCATCTGTTTTCCCAAATTCGAGATACTTCCATGATTATATAACAATCTCAAATTAACCAATCATAGCTTAGAGTACTTTCTGCATGTACTTGTATAAATACTGTTCACAAATAAACTGCGTCATCCTCTTTTCCTAGCTTCCGCCATGTCAAGATCCATGTTGCTTGTTTGTCCATCTAAAATAATATTGCCCCTTTAATCTGTGTATATAAGAAATTATTGTAATTGTTTATGATTAAAAAACATACTGCTTATGAAGAATTATTGTAATCTGCTTAGAAATAAAGATGGTAATTAGCTGAACTTGGTTTAGTATCAACATCTTCGTCCCATCTTGCTCCTCTGCTATCATGACTACGCATCAAAAATATTACATATATACATATATATTTGTTTTTAATTGATATTTAACAAACATTCTCTATTCATAAAAAGCAAATTAAAGTTAATAAATTTAAATGAAATTTAATGCAAACAAATAAATGATTAATTATTGTTGCAAACTAATCTACAATATCATTTAAATTCTGAGAGCATATGTAAATCAAGTGCAAGTATCAAAATCCATTAATAAATATAAAATTCCAAAAATTATTTAATCCTAAAAAATTTATTTTTGAAAGTGCATAAGTGAATGATTGTTGAGCAGGCAGGAGACAGACTTATCAAGGGGAAGTTGCCTCCAAACCTAACTCTTATAAATCATTCAATTAGGGTTTCGTCATCCATGTAGACAAGGGTAAAAGTCAAAACCAAAAGTAATATCAAATGTGGTGAATTACTAAAAAGAAAAATTTAAACAAGTGGTATTTTGAGAAATTAACAATAAAAAGGCCAGAATTAAAATTTTAAAATAATAAATAAAAGTAGAAAACCTGTAGTAATTTAAAAATAAAAATATGTGTAAAGTAATTTAGAAACTCTTGCCTACAGAAACTTCCCCGACACAAATTATGCATATAAATCAAAAGGAAACTAGACATTATCTATAAAAAATAATACTAAAAAGGTTAATTGATCTTATATGTTGATATAATATTTAAATTTAATAGTGTATTAAATTCTTTTTTAAATTTTATTTCCTTCTTCAATCTTAAAATTTTTTTTCAAAATATGTTACATAATTCTTTGATCCTCCTTCCCCCAAAAAATTACATATATATATATTGATTTTTTTGTTTATTTTTGAATATGCAAGTTCATTATTTTCTGAATATTTGCAAATGCAAGGACAGAAAATCGTTGCATTAGATATAGCTTTTCTTATGTAAACAAAATCATCAGACTACATGAGATGACTTTTTTCTGTTTATAAGTGTTAAAATCAAAAAAACTGTGCAATATACTATATTAGTAATATGCTTAATTGCCACCCCTGCTAATGCAACAAAGTTTGATGTTTCTTCTGTAATTTAAATTGCTCTTTCATTTTAAAAAATTTTATTACTTCTAAAAGGTATACAAAAAGCCTGAATTTGATGCCAAAATCTGGAATAAAGAAAGACCAAGTACCAGAAATGGTTGAATCTTCAAATGTACAACTCAGGTATATAACCTTTTAGTTATTTCTTTAATATAAGAAAGTATTTGCATAATCAAATATTTTATCATACTTCTTATCTAAATGTTTTTAATTAACACGCAAAGAGGCAAAATATTGTTGTTTGCATACTGGTTCATAATAGATTAAATGCACACAGCTCCAATGATAAGTTGATAAAATTTATTTTATCAAAAGAAACACTTCAGAGTTCTGAAACTTTCCACAAAAATAGTCATACAGTTCTTCATAGTATCACAGAATACAATCAGTAGTTACACTTGACTTCGAACTTCTAAGAACACTAAATACAACACAACGCATAGTGCATCTAAAGATCGAAACTAATCTGAAGGTATCTCAGTACTCCAAATTCACACTGAATTAACAGCTGAGAAGAAATGCTGTGTCTAGTCTTATATAGTTTGCCCCTGGTCGCCAAGATACTTTTAGTACATTCTACTTCTTGAAACCACTGGAAGGCATATGAGGCCCAAATCATGGTTACATAACTACTTAAAGCATCAAGAACAGTTATTTAATTACAATATCCATCACAGTTATACAGGGAATGGACCCAAATGGTCATCAAATTTGGCAATTTCTTCCTTAAATTGCCAACAAAAATTAGTCACCAAAACGGTCGCCAGTTTGGTGATATCTTACCAATTTAGTGAGATACCGATTTACTCAGTGTTAAATGGACTTGCTCCTGTATTCTGTAACATATGCACACCTCTGACACACAGGTGCTTAATGAGAAGAACTTCCTGTTTTGTGCAGAGACTAATTCAGTTAGAACTTTGAGGAAAGGTGTTGCGGAAATCCCCTGTTGTGGCCCCCGGACATAAGGGACTTAGTAATTACCCCATTTCAGGTATTTCTGATAAGACTTTTAACAAAACGAAAGAGAGGATCTTTTGTGTGAGCTTTTTATGTAATGAAAGACTCGGAAGAAGACGCAATCCAGCATCGTGGCTGCATCCAGCACCCATTGTGTGAATTATGGCTGTAATGATTGATTATGTTATTTATTAGTAATCAAGAAATTCTTATAAAGTTTTAAAATAAATATTTAAAAGACAACTATTCTTTCTAACTCAACACGGGTGTTCAGACGTTACAATTCTTACTTTTTCAGCAAGCTTTGCTTCTATAGATTTTTATGTTACATTATACAGAAAAATACAATTTTACTTATAACTGCACTAAAATCTTCAGTCGATATACAAAATTTGTAATGATATGTATGTATGCCTTTGAAAATTTTGCTAATTTTTTTTTAAATTATTGCTGATTTCTTATAACAGGGATGGCTGTGATGTTGTATTTAAATCATTGCATCAACATAATGTGCCTTTGCTCATATTTTCTGCTGGAGTGGGTGATCTATTGAAGGAAGTGCTCAGACAAAAGAATATGTTATATCCAAATATGAAAATTATTGCTAATTTTATGCGGTTTGATGAAAAGGTATGAGGTTTTTTTTTTTTTTTTTTTTTTTTTTTTTTTTTTTAAAGCTATTTTATGATGCTGAATATATTTTTTTCTGATGCAGTTTTAATGTAATTTTATGCTATTTTGATAACAGCTGTTTATTAAAGTCAGTATTCAGATTTGTTAATTTCAAGTAAAGAGGCTGAATACATTTCTCAAAGATAGATCATATTTTTTCAAGGGTAGATTATTCAGTAAAATTTGCTTTCATCTGCATCTTTTGTTTGAAATTAATATGAAATAGAGTTCCAGTTTATTAATTATTAAATTTCAAATTGGGATCGATTTTTAGTATCTAGCCCAGTAATAAATTCAAACTTGAGAGATACAATATTATGCTGATTTTCTAAATTAAAAGAACAAACTCTCAGCTCTAAGTATTTTTTTTTATAAAATACAGTATAATTAAGGATGAATTTAATAATGATTAAACTTGCATAAGATACTTAAAGAGAATTTGTCTGTAGTAAGCATGGTTTACTGAAATTAAATTGTATTTCCAATTGTGAAGTTAAAAAATACATACTTTACTTCTGTATGTGGTATTTCATGTACATTTAATTTTATTTGTTTATTTGCTTTTGTTTCTGCTGTAACCAAATTATTCTCATAGGTGTAGTCTTTTTCTAATAATTAGTGAATAATTCTGATATCTTTTAGTGTTTATAGTGCATTATATATCACCACTAATCTTTGCTAAGAGTCCTCAGATATTCACAGTTATTTTTTAATATTTAAGTACTGCAGTGCTATTTTTTTTTTTTTTTTTTTTTCTTAGTACTAGTGATCTTTTGCTGAGGTAGGCTTCTATTATATTACTGTATAAGGTCTACTATTATCAAGAGTCCAGTTGATGGCAGTACACTTTTGAATTGATAGTAAAATTGTCTGGTAAAGTCCTCCCCCCCCCAAAAAAAAGGATTCTTCAAAATCTCACTTAACAGAGAACGTCACTTCCTCCTCTAAGAATATCAAGAATTGAAGTGTTTTGAGCTGGCCAGTCTCTTTTACTCCATGATTACTTGCATTGAATATTGTAAGCAATCTATTTTTTGTGATAATGATCATTTTCAAAAATTGATTGTTTTCTTGACGTTTGAAAAGCAAACCATAGGAATCAATGCGATTGAACAAATGTATTTCATTAATATGTAGAATTCATGTACCAAGATTTGAAATGAAATCAAGTCATTTCATGTGATCATAAATGGTTAAATACAAAAAATTTAATCTCTTCACAGTTTCTTGTGTAGTTATTTGGAAGTTTGTTCCAATCAATATCTTTATTTTGTTTATTTTGTCTTCATCAGCTTCAGTTGGCCTTCCAGAACATGAAGCATTTTGTAAACCAGTTTTTAGCACTGATATTCTATCAGCATATCATTTCCATACATGCTATGCAATTTTTTTCTTTCTTGAACTGCATTCCAAACTTTTCAGTAATAAAAACAGCAAAACATGCTGATAATGCTTTTGATTTCCCATATTTTGCTGAGATACCTCCCAAAAATTGTGTTGAATCAAACAATTTTTTTTACATATAAGCCTTGTTGTCAACTGTCAAAGTGTGGAATGACAATACAGTTTAGAATGAAGTTGTCTGGGTAAAAATGCAGTCAATCCCTACAGTGGTTTAAAAAAGGAAGATAGAAAGAAAAGAAATTATTTTGTGAACAACCCAGTGAATACAGAGAAAAACAAAATCTGTAGATTGTGTAACTTAACTGATGTTTGTCGTATAAGTATTTTCTGCAATTTTTTTTAACATAGGAGCATTATATCATTTCATTTTACATACTGTAAAATAATAATAAATTATTTCACTTTTTTTTTTTTTTTTTTTTTTTTTTTTTTTTTTTTTTTTCAAGTATTAGAAGTTTATTTATTTTATTAATTACATTTATACTAAGCAGAAAACTTATGCATAATTAAGTAATGTTTGTCATAAAAATTTTGTTTATAAGATAACTTCCTGGAAAAGAGTATAAGCTGTTGTGTTTAAATATGTTATAAAAGTTGTAAGTGAAGTGTAATATATAGAGTTTCTTAAATATTTTTAATATGTTGTATTTCTTTTTCAGGATAAGCTTGCTGGATTTAAAGGTGCTTTCATCCATACTTTTAACAAAAACTTAACTTCTGTAGAAAACAGTGATTATTTCAACCATTTAAAGTCTAGAGACAATATTATCCTTCTTGGTGATTCCTTGGGTGATCTCGACATGACAGAAGGAGTAAATGACATTAATTCAATTTTGAGGATTGGTTTTCTTAATCATAGGGTAAATCTTTTACTATTTTCAAAAATCCGTAATAATTGTTCTTTACTGTTAATTATTTTGTGATACAGCTTGAATTATAACACAATTCAAGATGTTTTTTAAAAAAGTGCTTTTCAGTAATTTGTTCCCAATTCTATAAAATCAGTCTGAAATTATCCCTGATTTAATGATGGGTTTTCTTGATTTAGCAATAAAATTTTGTAAATATTATTGTCTCCTAAAGCCATTTGCAGCATTCATGCTGAACCTAATATTCTTCCAAGTTTGCATTTTCACCCATACAAAATTTGTCCTTCTTTTCTGGAATAGAATTTCTACTTATTGACCATTACACTGCTTACCCAAATCTTAATTATTTAAAAAATATGAAAGTAAATGTTAATATTATTCTACTTCGTCTGTTTGCATGGATGATCTGGTCAATTTCATTCACTAAAGTGTCAGTGTTGACGAGGTGACTTTGACCAGGTTGTGGATCATCTTTCAAAGACTCCCGCCTTTTGTGGAAATGCTTGTGCCAGTCCTGCACACGACTCAGTGACAGTGAGTGTTCTCCATACTCTTTTCATTCGCCAGTGCACTACATGAACACCAACACCTTCTGCACAAAAATATGAATAACATCATGTTACTCTTTATCACTCACCAGCAACTGCTTACCAGTCTCAAACATTATGCAGATGAAATGACAAGTGCCAGATGATGCTGTTGGCTGACCGCTAGCACATATCACATTGTTCTGCTCAATTGCCTAGAACAAGTCCATTCCGCAATAGAGGTTGTCTTTTTTAATCTCCCGCACTTTCTTTACACACAGTTTTCGCGACAGTCACATAAAAATATCTAATTATGACTACTGCTCTGTTTTTATTAGATCTTCATTTGAACAGCAGAGTCATTGACACAGTTTGAAACTGGTTTCAATCTCAGCAAACTCTTTCTATGAAAAAGGTAGTCACCACTTGATATAACAGTGGGACAAGTGCTTATGTAATTTTGGTGATTACATTTGAAAATAAATAATATTTTTTCATTTTGTGGCTACTGTTCCGGTTTCATTTCATCAATCCTTATACTTTTGCTGGCCAGGAACGAGATGATAATTTGTAGGTTGCTGAGTCAGCTGCATGGCATAATGTCACACTAAAAGTCATTATAGGTAATGTGTATTGCAGTTCATATGTTGAAACTTGTATGTCTACCACTTTTGACGAATTTGGGATAAGTATAATGTGTCTAAGTATTCATGCCACTGCAGAAAGGAAAACAGTTATGATACATATAAAAAAAAGGTCACTTCTGAAGCAAATGAATGTACGGTACATAAAAAAAGAATACTTAATGGCGTTTGATAGAGATCTAACACATTCATTATTGTTGATAAAGCAAAGACCAATATTGCTTTAACACTTAGAACAATGCAGAACAGTAATAAAGAATTCTTTTAAAAAAGTAATATTTTTATTTAAAATGTTAGAGCACGATAAATTTTGTTTGTATATAAAATTAATTTAAATATATCATGATTTTAATAATATTTTGTCATTCCTATAGCAACTGTTTGTTCAGGTCTGACGTATAAAAGTTTTAGTAATTATATATATTATATATGAATTGATTTAAGGATAACCTTAATATATAAATTTCAATATTCCTTTGATTATTGTTAGATCAGGATTTGACTGTACCAGAAAAAATTCTTTTTTATAATATATATTGTACTTTAAATTGATTAAAAATGAACCTGCAATTTAATTATAATTATTAGTGTTCCTATGATAGTAATTGCACTAGACTAGGATTTGACTATACTAGTTAAAAAAAATCTCTTAAATCTTATAAATAAAATTTTGAAACAGGTGTATCTTATTAAGCATGAGGATTTATGAAATAATAACATTAAAATCTGAAAGATTTCCGATTTCAATAATCACCCAAAAGAATTTGTTAAGGTTTTTACTTTCTTGCTGGGCTTGCAGTCTGCTGTTACAGTCACTCCTATTAACACCCCCCTTTTTTTTCTCTTTAGCTTTATTATTAAGCATCATCACTTACAACATATGTAATTCAACAGCAAAATTACGAAAATTTTAAAAGCATAATAGCAGTATATGTTTAGAATTCCCGATGCAGCATTAAGTGTTGGCACACATTTTTCTGTTTTTAGTCTTTTCTCACTTTATCGTATCAATGTTCGGATTTCTTGCTAAGATGGTTTTACAAAATTTTTTTCTATCTTTTTATTATTAATATTTTATGTGTTTGAATTATTTATTAAATATCACATTCTTGGTGCTTACACCATATAAAATTGAATTCAAAAACAAAATCACAAAATATTTAAAAACTATATATCTTTGGAATTTCCAATAAACATTCTCGTGTGCTGAAGATAAAATTGTTTTTCTCCATACAGTATTGCCGTGCTCACTTTGAAATCATTGAGTTTTTTAATCAAAAAGTTGTTTTATTTTTTAAATCAAAAATTTTCCAAAATATGAAATATTGGGTCAATCCATAAATACATGCGCACTTTTTGGTAAATTTTTAAATAATATAAAAAACACAATTTAACATTTTAATCAATTATATATTTTCCTTCATTATCTAAAATGTCTTGCCATCTTGCAGACAGCTTTTTTATGCCATTGCTGTAGAAAAACTCGGTTGGAGCAAAAAAACTTGAAAGTTCATTTGTACATCCTGTTTAGAATTTAATTTTTTCCCAGTAAAAAAAATGGTAAGGCACGAAATAAGTGAAATCACTTGGGGAATATCTGGGAAGTAAATGGTTGTAGAAAAAGCTCCCAATAAATCAATTTTGGCAGCGTGTTAGCTCATGTGGTATAGCATTATCATGATGAAAAGAACTTTCTTGATCCAATCGTGGGCGTTTTTTGATCAATTCTGAGTTTAGACAGCCAAGTTGTTCACTATAAACTTCTGAATTGATTGTTTGATTTGGTTCTAACAATTCAAAACGTCCTGAACGGGGTTCATCATCAATGCTGCTTTTTCCAACTTAAAAATTTTTAAACCATTTCTGGGCAGTCCTTACACTAAAAGTGTTTTCACCATGTACACTATTAATTTTTATCACTGCAAACCTGGCTGATTCACCTCACAAAAATAAAAAATGTAGCACAGCACATTTGTACTGATTGTCTGTATTCATCCTCGATGGGTACTAAAATGCATTCGATATTTACAAAAGTTGATGATGAACTGAATAATATTTTAGTCAAACGATGACAAGTTTCAACAGGTTCAAAATTGTATTGTTTTAGTAAATGCATCATAGTGAATTCCACACATACTCTTAATGTGCACGAACTTATAGACTGACCCGATACATAATAAAACAAATTCAAAACTTGGGGTTCATATTCAGGTGGAGGTTTTTTCGTAATCAGTGCAAACATGCATACAATCATGCAGATTTTGATTATTTAATTTCTTTAAATAAAATAAATCCAAATTGTGGCCACCAAATATTATATGGAGGGCGATAATTTTTTTTTTATTTTTTTTTTTTTTTTTTTTTTTTTAAGTGAAATAACACTTTGACTGTTTTAATTTAATATTTTCTTTTTCACATATGTCAAGTATTATTTTAAGATGTTCTGAATGTTCTTCAAAATTTTGGAAAAATACTATCATGTCACCAAAATTAGTTATAAATGGTAATTCTTCAATATCTTTTCCAGTTAACTTGATAAGCCAAAAAAACAGTTGCTAGATCTTAATGTAGATAACACTTTAGCATTTGTTAATTGGTCTACCACTGCATCTATTCTAGATATGGGTTCATGAATCTGTTTAAGTAATTTGGTTATGTTTTTTCTAGTCCATACATAATCTAGTTTTCGTATTTTCATCTCTTTTATAAGCAAGTTAAGGCAGTAGAGCTAAATCATGGTTTTATGATACCTGCATGTAATAACTCGTCTATTAGTTTTTCAATTTCCATATTATCTATAGGGGATGCTCTATATGGCTGATTAAACAACTGGAAATTCTGAAATCAGTATTACTTTTAGAAGTGCAATATTAATACAACCGACACCGTAGTTAATTTTTGCAAATACTTATTTGCTCAGAAAATTTCACACTCGTTATTTGTAACATGATTAGCATAATCTTTTTTATTTTGAGTATTTTCTTATTAAGGGGGTATTTAAACATGCATCCTTACTTATTTTTCTCTTAAACTAAACTGACACATGTCATGATCAGTAAAGTTCAACTTCAGTTTAAATAACAGAATACAAGATAAAGATAATAATGAAAAACTCAGGCGAAAATTAACAACATAAAATGTCACATTTCTACGTATTCTTCCAACTTTACATGACAATTTAATTAATTTAATGACAGAAATACCTCTAGATAAAGATGATAACTGTGTTGAGGTTTCATGTTCAGTAGTTTCAAAATTATCAATACGACTTTTATTTATTTATTTATTTATTTATTTATTTTTTAAAGTATTTTTAGAAATCACATTAACTAGACTACCTGTATCAATAATAACAAGAAAGTTTTTATTCCCCTACCTTAAGCATTTAACTTAAGATATTGTCATTTATTAGGTGAAGTAACTTTCTTGATATTTCATTTTCAGTGCTTTCAATATTATCAATATAATAAAGTGTTCTCAGAAAATTTCACTAACTTGACTACCTGTATCAATAATAGGAGGAAAGCTATTGTTCCCTATCCAAACATTTAACTTGAAATCCTGTCATTTTTTGGAAATGACAGAATAATATCATTGATTTTAAGAATCAAACTTGAAATACTGTCAAATTTGATTTTGATAGGATGGAAGTTTGTGATAATTTATAGTGGGATACTAGGAATTTGAACAGTTCTTCATATAGGATTTTCAGGGAAATAAGACCTAAGTTAGAATGGTCTTGAAGTAGGATATTTGAAGTAGATTTTGTGTAGGAACTGAAGACTTGGGCACATTGCTGGTGCTTTGTGTTTCTTCAAGTGAGCTTGAAGTTGAGAATAATTTTCGTACTACCATAATCCAATTCTGAATGGAGGTTTTGTTTTGGATAGATAATAACTGCTCTGGTAAACTCCTTGAGTAAGCGACTTAATTAGAATATGATCACTTAATTTCAACACAGACTGTAATTTTAGTTTTTGTCTGAAATATTTATATATGTTTAAATTAACTGTAAGTGACTGAGACACAGTTATCAGTTAACATATTATAACTGGAAAAAAAAGGTGCTAGAAATTTATCTTTTAATAGATTCCGACTATCAATATACCTGTGAATATAGAATACTAATGCTTCTTCTTTCAAAAAATTTGAAAATAAAGCTTTTTTTTTTCCCCCCCCTCTGAGAGGTTTTTCAAACTACAGTGTTTCTCAAAGAATGTTAAATATCTGTCAGTGGGATAGTCCTCAAAGAATGCTAAATCTCTGTCGATGGGATGGTCTTTTATTCCATCAAAGATTGGACAAGTGAACTCGCTTTGTCCAGAGAAACTATTTCAGAAGCAGTTTCAGGTTGCTGTATGGTTATTTTGAACTGATATCATGTTCCCATTTTGAATTTTGTTAAAATCAATGGATCTTTTGCTTAAGAAAAATTAAAAACAACATTAAAACATTATAAATAAGTCTTCAAATACTAAAATTGATGACTTAAAATTAGACTATTATTATATTATTATCAATAAATCAAAGAACATTTAAACTGCTTTATAGAAATGCAAAAATTATATAGTATACTGTATGAGCAATGCCCTTATTAAAGTAGTAATCTTAGCTCTTATTAACAGTAATTTGTACATACTTCTTGATGTTAACTTTTTTTGGGGGGGGGTTGAATCTTATCAACAATATTTTTATGTGATATTTTAGAAGTCTGAAATCATGGTACATTGAAGTTACTGTATAGTAGGCGAAATGAGGAAGTTGCAAGACATATGTGCCAAGTTCAAGATGTAGTTTATTCTTTGATAACTCTTGAAACATCTTTTAAATACATTTTAATTGTTTGCATAATTGGTGCAAACTGCACCCGAACAATTTCATATCTGCATATTACATCTTAAATAATAGAAAAGGTAATGGAACAGCAAACATATGTTATACCAACAGCAGTAAGTGAGAAAGTGCAATATAGTAATGTAGCTGATAGTATTTAAAAGCTTGGCTTCTATTGTTTTAGTTCTGAGCAGTGGCTTGACAAAAGATTTTCAAAGTATAGAGAAATTGTAGAAAAAGAGTAATGTAACATACTACAGCGTGATGCAAAATGATGGAAAATGTATCCTTGAAGAGGGGATGTGTTGAATAAAAAATTTATGAATATAAAGGTCTCATTTGGTTCCAATTAAATTTAATAATTTTGTTTCACAACTGCTTTGCTGTTACTGGTGCCTTTAACAATTCTGTGAGGCAATGATTCCTAGTTTGTGATATGTGTACCTCATACTCGAAAGTTTCTATCTCAAGCCTCGGCAACCTATGACCGACTGATCAAAAAGTGACCCACTTGATTTCAAAAATAAAGTGTAATATGTAAAAATAACTTATAAAAAATAAATTTGAAATAAGCACTTGAAGAGTACATAAGAAATAAACCAAAAATAAATACTGACAATAACGTTTTGTTTGATTACAAAGTTACAATAATGAGTATGCATTTATATTTTTAAAAAATAAAAATTGTAACATAATTTCAAAGATAATTGATATGTTTGTCAACAACAATCCATAATCCAGAATTCCAAAACATTTGCTTTGCCATCTTGTTCGTATTCGGTTCAACAAAAATACAAGTGAATATTTTCACATATGAAATCTGTTTAAGTAAGAACAAGAGCAGCTTAACTACCAAATATTCAGATGCTTGTATTTGTCTTAAGTTAACTAACTATAAGCCAGATTTGACTAAATTGACATCACTTCATCAGGGAAGCTATTGATATTGAAAAGAGAAATAAAATTCATTTAGTTGGTTTTATAATAATTTTAATTTTGATGTTTAAAGAATACTGTAATTATTTTCTCAATGAAATTTATCTCATTATTCACCAAGAAAGACTGTTTTAAAATGAAAATACTGACCACTGACTCGTAACGTGTTCTTAATACACATATTATGCCTGATTTTCACCCACAGTTAAAAAACAGGTTCCCGATGCCATCTATATCTATTAATAAAGCCAATACTCAAACTTTTGAGAACTGAATCAGGAAATACATAGCATAGTTTTTATCTGTACACATTTCCTCCTTGAGAAATCTGTACATCTTCCCCCGTTTTCTCTTTGAAAACTGGACCAATCTTTATCCAGTGTAAATAGTTTAAATAATCCTTATTATGTGATTTACTTACAGTATTTGGCATTTTTGTGATTACCATTAAAGTAATTTATGAATGTAAAATACAGCATGTATTCAAATATCAAATTCTTTTGCCTTTAATACGAAATTAGTTTTAGGTTCATATAAGTATTGATTACATTCCTTGTAAAGAGTTAGCTTATATAATATTTATAGTTCGATTTTGTGAAGCTCTGTAAGATAACAGAATTCCTGCAGGATGTCTATGATTACTATTCAGGCTTTTAAAAATTCTAGTTTTAAGATTAAAATTGAAATACAGGTTGTTCAATCAATTTTAAAGTGGATGTAAAAGAATACATAATTTAATCGAGTGGTTTTTTTTATTCTTGCATTGCATTATTGTGAGTAAGAGATGGGTTGCATTATGAGATGTTTTTAGGAGGTTTAAGAAACCTTTAAAAGTAGAAATATATTAAATGTGTCATTGATGGAGAGCAGATTTTGAACAAGGTCTCATTTTGTATCATGTGTTTGACTGTTATTTTAATCTTGCAAATGATGGATGCAGATCAGTATTTAAAAATGTATTTTTCTAATAGAATGTTATTTCAAGACAAATTCATTTGCTCACTGTAATATACAGTTTTCTAGTAAATGTGGAAAGGAAGCTGCAGAGAGTTGTAAATGAACATAGGTTCTGTCATCCAAAGCATAAAAAAGAAAAGCTCTATAAGATGCTATGAACATAATGAAATGTGTAGACAGAGGTGTTGAACTAAAGGGACATGATTTTCTTCCCAATGTTGTAATCAAGTTGTGTCTCATAATTTGTTCATTTTTGTTTCAGTAATGTGTCCACCTTTAATCTGAAACCCAATACAGTGAATCCCTGTTAGTTTAACTCTTTCAAAAGTGATTATTGATAAAAATTTAAATAAACATCAAGTATTAAATGTCAAATTTCTAAAGCTGTGACCTGTGCAGAAGATAGAGATTTTGAAACTAATTGTTTAGAAGCATGGATATCATCTTAAAGTAGTTTCACTTTGTCATTATTTCTTTCATACTGAAAGCTTGTTACAGTTTTAAAATTGATGATACACTGCTCAACATTGAAAATGCAACACCAAGGAGGAGTGGTCAAAAAGTGATGAAATTTGGAAAAAAGACAGAGACAGCAAGCAGCAATAAGTGATCTTTATTTCAAAATGATAGTCAGAATACAGAGCGAGAAACGTCGTCGGCTCAGTAGGATGTGGAACCACCGTGGACAACGATGTACGAAGAAACACGTCTAGGCATAGAGTCAATAAGAGTGTGAATGGTGTCCTGAGGGATGGCTCTCCATTCCCTTTCAGTGACGTGCATCCTACTCTAAAATTTGCATAAATTTCTGACCACTCCTTCTTGGTGTTGCAATTTCAATGTTGAGCAGTGTATTTTTCATTCTCATAGAGTTAGCTGTAAAATTAGTTTTATTTTTATGAGTGTTTAAAAAAAGTAATCTTCATCGACTAGTTCCCCCCACCCCATAATTCATGCATTTGACGTATTTAGAGTCGTGAGTAATATTGAATTGCTTGATGAAAAAAATTTTTTTAAATATCATATTTTCTAAAATATTTTAAATACTGTTTTTGTTTCTTTTCAGATTGAGGAGTATCTGCCTGAATACCTTGATGCTTTTGATATAGTTTTGACAGATGATCAGACAATGGATGTTTTAATTGGACTGTTAAAAAATGTCCTGTAAATAGTAGCTCTTTCAAATTAATATAATATATATATATATATATAGTGGAAATGAATGATATATATAAATTTATACTGAACATTTACCTTGAACAGTAAAAATAATGCTGTTGAAGAGTTTTATTTTTTATTTATTCAGTTGCAGATGCCATCATATGAGAATTTATTGTATTCTGTTTCCAGCTGTGTTTGTGCTGATATATTTTATGTAATTCATTGCACATGTTAATATTAATTTACATTATCCATATGATAGGAAAATTAAGTGGGATCAAAACTATTTAGTAAAGCTAATTTGGTTTTGATTTACATAATATTAACTGAAGATTTGGATTTTTCTGTTGGATTAAGTAATGCTGCTATTTGTTTTAAGCACAAATTTAAAATATATTTTATATTGTTTTCTGTATAATTGAAAAGTTTATACCAAAAACTTTTTATGCTCTGAATACTGAAGTTTCAATAATACATTTTATTAAGGGGGAGCAGAGATTAGCCATTTTATACATATAAATCTGTTGCATAGAGACATTTATTTTAATTACTGTTTAGATGAGAAGAATATTTTTCTTAAATTTAAAATTAGTGTAAATGTACTTGGAACCTTAAAATAGTTAGCTTATAACTTAGTTTATTTATCCTCTATGCATTAGATTTTTTGTGTACTTATTTTTTTAAAGTTTATATTTATGGAATTTCTGGAAAATGTCTCTTTATGAAAGAGTACTTACTTATTTGAGGTATTATTCATCTTGCTGGTGCTGTTTGTAACTTGAAATTTTTAAACATTTGGTACAAGTTTTTATTTTTTACATACATTATGTTCCATATTTAAGTCACATGAATTTTTCCCTTTTGAGGATAGGAGGGGGAGGGGAACTCATTTGGAGATTTAAAATTTAAAACTTCTCTTGCTCAATGCTCAGCTATGCAGTTTAAACATAGTCATATTAGCATTTAATATTGCTTTTGTTTTTATATTGCTTTTTTTTTTTTTTTTTTTTTTTTTGTTCAGATTTCATTTGACTTAGATATTAAATGTTTAAAATTCTTGCTAATGGCAATATTTTATTTATTTTATGCAAAAAAAAAATTGATTTCTGAAACAGGATTTTATCTCTGAATGGGGTATTTTTTTTTAATATGGCAAAAAACATCCACATAAAACTAAAATTGCAAATCACACTTGAATTTCAGTGTGGAAAAGTAAAGAGTAATGTAAAATAAATGAATTAATGAAAGTCTGACAGTTAAGTGTTAATTAATTTGGAAATAAACATAACATGTTTGAATATTTGATAGTGTGTTTACATTCTAAAAAGTAGGTGAACATATCTACATGAAAAAAAAAAAAAAAGAAGAAGAAGAAGAAGAAGCTGAAGAAATTCTTTGAAAATTCTTATCTTTGGCTGTGAATTTTCTTTCATATTATTATTGTTGTTTATTATTACTGTTATTTAGTTGATATTTAGAGTTTCTTGCATTTGGTGGCTTTAAATCTTTGTATGTGTCATATACTTTTCTAACCTTAGGACCATCAAAATTTTCCTGTAAATTATTTTTTCTGTTTTTTAATGTATAGTCTGTTTATCAATAATAGTTTTGTATTATTAACATTATAATTTTATTGAATATTAAGATAATGTTAAGTTTCTCATAGTTTAATTTTTTTTACCATGGTAAACTTCTACAAAATGTGGTCATTAACACATTGTGCATATGTAAAAACCGCATTCTGCAAAGTTAACCTTCCATGGAAAAAATAAAGTTTGGTATAGTTCAGAATAAAAAAGCATGTATAACTTATGCAAACCTAAATATTATTGCAGTTAAAGGTGATAATGAAACAAATGATAATTTGAAAGGATTTCTATTACTGTTTTACAAGTAGGTATGCTGCAAAAAAAAAAGAAAGAAAGGCAGTTCTACACCTCCCATTCAATTGGGCCGACTGATGAAATTCAAATTGCAGTTAAAGTCCGTCCACACGAGTACGCTCGCAACGTAGTTGCTGCTTTTTTTCCCACCGCCGTAAATTCTCCTTATGCAGAAGTCGTAAAACTTAGTTCGCTCGTGTTCAGCTTTTTTACCCACAATGTGAACAAACAACCAATATCTGTCTCAGTTGTTATCACATGTCATAATCAGAGAAAACTTCTTGCTTACCCATTTCAATATGGAGTCAGAACCACACAGAGATGAGTTTTTGCTTAAAGAGATCGTAACTGTACACAGCAATAAAATCATCAGCATTGTTTACAGTATCCTCAGATTTCTCAAACCATATATATTGGTATATTTTTCAAATTCTCATTAATGGAAGAAAACTCCATATTTATGAAGCAGTGATCCAACCAGTATATCCATATGCTTCACCTGTATATAAAATCATAAGTAATGGGAACCTAAATAAATTGCAGTTTCTACAAAATCAAATTTTCTGTCTTACAAAATTCTCCTTAATTATTATAAATGTTTTCTATTTCGTGTGTAAAAAAATCTCTATAAATGTTCCAATATTAAGTACTGCAAAAACTAACTTCAACAACTTCTAAAATAAAGCAGTTGACTGTGAAAAAGTATTCAAGAAAATACAGTTACGAAATTTTCAAGGACAGTTACAACTTAAGTCATATGGCTATCATTAATTGAATATTAATTAAATTACCTTTGCAGTGACTTCTACTTCTTACGTTATTTTTCGTAAAAACTGCTGTCGCAGATTAGCTGAATGGTCAGCTTACTGGATTGCAAACGGAAAGTTTGGAAGTTCTAACCTCATCTGTAACCATTGTAAATTAAGTTAGCTTTTCTCATTTTGAAGCGTGTTTCTTATATTTAATCATGAATCATTATATTCTTATTTTATCTATTATTGTTATTGTTTTCATTTCTTGTTTTATCTATAATTATTATTGTTTTTAATTTAGTTTAAAAATGTGCACTGCAAAGAGAAACCATTAACCCCTTATGTAATGACATGTTTGCATCTCCATCCTTATGTAATGATATGCTTTGTTATCATAGATTATCTCTATATTTTTACCTCATTGCACATTTTATTCTGCACATAATTTTACATAAACTGTCCAAAGTTTGAACCATATTCTAAATTCAAAAATGAATAAAAAGAAAAAAATCTGAAAGCTTTCATATCTTATATTATATTACACTCAAATGGGCCTTTTTCCTTTTTCATTTACAAGCACATGCATGTTTCGATAGCATTTGGTATAATGTTACATTGTGAAAAAAATTTTTAAAAACAGCATATATTAGAAATTTTATTGGATGAACTTTTTTTCTAATTTTATTTGCGTAGTAATATATAGAAAATAATCAAATTATAGAATCTTTACTTATTACACAGATTCCTTTACAAATACTTCCATAGCACACATAAAAACAGCAAACCAAGGGAGGGGGAAGATTAAAAAATATGAAGATGATTTTATTATATGATGGATGGTGTTTCAAGTAATTTAATTCTCTTTATATACTGTATTCCAAACCAATTTTATAAATCTTAATTTTCATACAATATAGAATCTGCAAGTCTGTCAAACTGGTCAATACCCATCCTGAAGTAATTAAAAAATAATTCAGGATATTCATTTCATAAACGATGCGGTAAAGAAAAAAGGTCTTGAACATGTCCCTCTAAATAAATCTTTCAGACCGATTCCCGCCGTTTTTTGCATTTTTGCCTCTGCTTAATGATTGTGCTTAATACAGTACAAAGTCCGAAATCCGGAATGATCTAAAATCCGTACCTCAAAGCCACAAACACTTTTTTTTATTAATGCTTTATGCATGCAGATTTGATTTTTCCTTCCATAATAAAACATGTGGAGATTTTCACTTAAAAATTACGAAATTTCACTTAGGCACTAAATAAAATACCTCATTATGGAAAACCAATCATGTAAGCATAAATTTGTGAGATTAATAATTTGGCTCTAAAGCTGAGTATCCACTTGGCATACATCTCAAACAGAAACATTCACCTATTTTATATCCCTGCTGGTGAGTGATTATTTATTATATTTTGCTTTCATCACCACATGTTTATCAATACATGACAGCTTCAGTAATAACACATGCTACGATGTCTAAACTTTTTTATATTAGTAATTGAATAACAAGAGTATGGCAACCTTTTATGGCGATGATTATAGAATTTTTAAACGCTCTAAGAAATATTGATGAGGGAAAATTCAACAAAAAATTTTTTTTTTCATATGCTAAAAATGGATTTTGTTAATGAAAATCATAGGCGAAAAAATTACATTTAGTGCTATTTTAATTAAGAATAACTGAAATGTTATTTACCATAAACCCAGAAGCAGCGGCAGAATATATCAGCACCAGACGGCAGAATTTAGGGAAAACGAAATTTTTGGGATTTAGGGAAGCACCGAGCGGCAAAATTAAGGGATGATAAATTTTTATGATTTAGGGAAGCACCGAGTGGCAAAATTAAGGGATGATAAATTTTTATGATTTAGGGAAAGCACTTGGATTCAAAGTTTAGGCACAGTGAAAATGTAGAACTTTCCAAAGTGCTTTGTTGCGGAATTTAGGATCCATAGAGACTGAACCAGGCGGTATTGAGCACAGGCCGTAGATAAAGCCTTAAGTATAAGTGGAAGTTTGTTTATTCAGGACTTTGATTAGTTTGAAGCATGTACAAGAAATAAACATAGGTATAGTAAATAACTAATACAATTCAGGCTTAATTTCAGTACGCAATAAGAGCAAGACAAAATTTAGCAAAACAACTTGGCTTTCGTCGCCAGTCTTGTGATACACAGCCAATAATGTATAATGGATGCTATTAAGCTAGACTAAAATTATCTTTACTGATTCTAAGGCATTTCAATTAATGTAGCAGACTGTGCTGCTCCCTGATAATCTAATTTGATCCAGCTTATTATTTTTTGCAGACTTTTATTATTACGGCAATTTTATAAAAACTAAGCTTGAACTTTCGATTATGTCGAAAAGTGTTTCCAATTCTGGAGTTGCCAAAGGATCTACTAATCAAAACCATGTTTCGATGTCCATTAAGGAAAAGTGGAATTGCTCCAAAAAATGGATAAAAGCATATCCGTCTCAAAATTATGCGAGGAGTATGGCATTGGAAAGTCCACTGTATGTGACACAAGAAAAAAGAAAAAGGAACATTTTGATTTTTTTGTGGAAGCATCTTAAATAACTTACACTGAAAGAAATGTTTAATAATGTAAGCAAATAAATATTAAGCTTCTTTTTGTAAATTTTGATCATAATTGTTCTTTATTTCATAAATTATGATTTCAAATTTTCAATTGTATAATTTCTTCATGCCATCTTACCAGATTTAAATTGATGATCTATTATCCGGAAAAATTCCAAATCCGGAATCGCCGAAATCCTGACCAGTCCGGATTTCGGACTTTGTACTGTAGTAAAGTTCCAGCTATCAAAAAAGCATCTGATTCTGACATCTTGCCGCAAACATAGAGAAACACAGCAAAGTAACAAGTTGACAGTTACGTTGACCAAGAGAATAATGCTATATTACAGTGTCGTGATTTTTGCACCAAATAATTCAATTGGTTATTCTTCGCAAGCATACGTGTCTAGACACTGTTTCACTGGTAATGTAAATGCACTTTAGTTAGCTACATTCCGAGCATAGTCGTGTGGACAGGCCTTTAGGATATGTATTAGATTTATATATAGCATTGTTCTAATATAGGTATTTTGACACAAAATCAGAATTTTTCTGATATGACATGCCATTTTTTTTTTCTATATTTTGATTCTGTGACTCAAATTATACCTAAATATTAAATTTTGTAAAATTTGGTGTGGAATTTAAGGAGAAATTCAAAAATTTATCTTGGCACATATTTTTCAGTTTGTGCGAAGAATAAATCACTTTGCAAACTTCTTAATTTACGGCAGACTATTTTCCTTCCCTTTTTACATTGTGCATGAGCAGAAAAAGTCACATTGTTCTTTCTTTCAAATAATTTTAACAAAGTGCGTAAAACACATTTGATGTCATTACCGCTTTCAACAAATATGCCAAGTTTTCAAAATGTGTCAGTGTGAAATTTTATTAAAAATCTCTAATTTGCGCAGGTATGCTTAAAAATACATCTACTTTTAAATGATGGTAAAAATTTTATAGTTGTAATTATATTTTTTCAAAAATTTATAATAATTATTTAAAAATACAAATTTTAAAAAATAAATCATAAAAAATGAGCTAATTTTATTTGGAATGAACCTAAATTTCGAATTTTGGAAGAAGGAATCAAGTAAGTTTGATAAAAAAAAAAAGATACATTAATAAATATGTATCAAATTCAATTAACACCGAGGAGTTAAAATTTTGAGAGCTAATTTTTTAAAAACTACTCGTGCTACTTTTACAAAACTTAGCAGTTTGGCGTAATTTGAGTGGTAGAATCAAAATATGGAAAAAATTGGCATGTCATTTTAAAAAATTCCGATTTTGTATCAACATACCTATATTAGAACAAAGCTATATTTAAATTTAATACATATCCTAAGTCGCGCTTTCGAGACGTAAAAAACGCAAGTTGAATTTCGCCAATGGGCCCAATAGAATGGGAGATATAGAACTTTCCTCCCTTTTTTTTGCGCAGTGTGCATGATATTGTTCCCCCCTTTTTTAAAGAGCTGGTGATTTTTGCTTGTGTGATGCAACTCATTAAACATTTTGTGGTAAGGAATGCAATGTTTTTTAGTATCTGTCATAAAGTATCCTCTTTTCTTTTCATTTGGGTCAGTCTACATTACAAAATCATACAATTTCTGTGCTTTTCTAGCAATTGTTTTAATAACTTCATGTTTGTTAATGGCTCTTTATCTCCTTCACGATCTTGCTGATGATGTAAGATCTGCTGTTCTTCATTTGTCATTTCTTGATTGCCGTTCTCAACTAATTCTTTGATGTCTCCTGCTTCCATATCTGAAAATCCTTTTTTGCAGTTTGGTTGTTTTCCTTGGCTTTATTTTAAATGGAGAGAAATCGTTTAATATTATTGACAACTTTTGGCCATAACTGATGCTAGAAAGCATTCGTTATTGATGAATTCACTTGTTGCCATGCGAGTTTAAACATTTCTGTGTAGTGTCTTATGTTGAATTGTTTCCAGTGTGCAATTAGTGTGTTGTGCTTTAGTTGCACAGATATAAACATACTAGGCTTTTAATGTTTTTATGATTCCTTTATCCATTGGCTAGATTAAAAAAGAGGTGTTTGGGACAAGGAATAAAATCTCTACATTTGGATGTTGTGAGCACTTCAGCACAATTTTCTGAGGTATTATTAAGAATTAGGAGATTTTGTAAGTTCAGGTTTTGCTGTTCTAAGCAATTTCTGATGTCTTTGATGAATGGACACCCTGCAGCATACCACATGTAATTGAAATTCTCATGTTAGGGAAATTAAATGGAGGCAATTAAGGTAATGTGAATAAGCAAAATCATGTTCCACAAGTTCTTGTTCGGCAAGGCTTTACTGTACTGCATTTTCCCACTCTAATCTTACAGACTTTTATAAGATGTATCAGAACTCCCTGTCCCCCTTTTTCTCCCTGTTTTTCTTATGCTACCAGATTTTAAAATGTCAGAAACTATGGAGAAAACTTAATATTCTTGCTAAAATATTTCACGTTTGAATTTAATCCTCTGATTGGCACAGCTTTTAGGATTTACTGATGAATGGCTCTATTCAAACAATAGTTATGAGCTATATTTATATAATTACATATGATCCTGCTTGGTTTCATATACTTTCATGTCTTAGGATAATATTTAAATCATTAAAGACTAGAAATTCAGAATATTTTAAATAACAAATTAATAAATGCTAAGTGACAGAAAATTCCATGACCACATAAAACCAGTCCTACTCAAAGGATTAATAAATATAGCTATCTAATGACAGTTAGTTATTAATATTTTCTCTACAGTTGAAGTATGCAGGAAGTAAAGATGTCAACATTCTATCCCAAGGTTAGTAGATACACAATGTTATGTTTTTCCTAATGCTCAAGTTAAATGATATCAATTGTCTTACAGAAATGAGAGAAAAAGACACAAAGGGAATAGGGAGTAATTGCTT